GTTGTTTTGATACGCATGTAGTACTATTGCCACACGTACATTTGCATTTATCTAGTGGCTAATGGTGTTGAAAAGCTTTTCAGATGGTTATTTACTAGATGTATACCTTTAGTGAAGTATCTATTCATGTGCTTTTTCAAAAGGATTTTTCACTGTTACTTTTTGTGGGGGGTGCCTAGTCAGTGATGCTCAGGGCTTACTCTTGGCTCTGCACTCAGAAGTTACTCCTGGCAATACTCAGGGACCATATGGGGTGCTGAGGGATTGAACCCAGGTCATCTATGCGCAAGGCAAGCACCTGCCCACTGTACTAATTCTCTGGCCCCTCATGGTTACATTTTAAATGTTCTTTACATACATATTCTATATACTGGTCTACTACTAGAATTAATGGCACTTTTCTTTCTCCTTTCTGTGGTATAAGGCCACACCAGGAAGTGCTCAGGGCTTGCTCCTGGCTCTATACTCAGGGATTGCTCCTGGTGGGGCTCAGGGATCAATCATGGGTTGGCTGCATGCAAGGCAAATGCCTCACCAGCTGTATTATCTCTCCAGCCCAAATTCATGTCACTTTAATTTTCTCTCTCTTTCTCTCTTTCTTTTCTTTCTCTCCCTCCCTCCCTCCCTCCCTCCCTCCCTTCCTTCCTTCCTTCCTTCCTTCCTTCCTTCCTTCCTTCCTTCCTTCCTTCCTTCCTTCCATCCTTTTCCTCCCTCCCTCCCTCCCTCCCTTCCTTCCTTCCTTCCTTCCTTCCTTCCTTCCTTCCTTCCATCAAGAAACTTTTTATTGAAACTTTTTAGAAAGATGTGGGGGGAGAGAGAGGGAGAGTACACGTTCAAGTACAACTACTGAGCTTCAGAGTGGTAATAAGCAAACACACAAACCAGAGACAAGCAAGCGAGATATGTGTTTGAGGGAGAACACAGGCTTGAAAGCAAGCTCATATCATTCTCAAATTGAACTTTTCACTGTTAACTTTTGGGAGGTTTCTGAGGAAATTTAGAGCCTGCTTGAGTTCTCAGAGGTAGTTCTTGGGTGTATCTGGGATATCATGTAGTGCTAGGAATTGAACTGGGTCAGAGAGTATCATGCAAACCTCCTTCGTTCTTATACTATTTCTCAATTTTCGTTGCTATATTTTAAATATTATTTCTGTATTACGTATACTAGCCCTATACCAGTTATGTGACTTGCACGTGTTCTCCCAGTGTATACTGCTATCAGTAATTTTACAGAATGTTCCACAGAGGAATAAGATTTTTGATTGTGTGTATGTGTTTTTAAGAAGTTAGGAACCATTCCTTTCTCTTTTTTTTAGTAGTTGTTTATCAATAAATGTCTACTTCCCCTACTTCCCTTTCTTGTTGTGACAAAGTCTGGGACTTGTACACTTGGTTGAGGTATGCCAGGATTCCACACTCATTGGCACACCAGGAAACATAACAGTGGTTTTAAAATTTTTGTGAAGTCTAGTTTATCAAAATTTGTTGAGTGCATGATGCTACGGATGTCTAAGAACCTGGCTGAGTGTAGTGGGACATTTCCTTACTTCTCTGTCTCAGCCTTGTTAGGAGGGTGGGAAAAAGACCCACTTTACTGTAGTTGAGGTAAGATGGCCACTACAGTAGTGTGAGTGTTTATGCTTTGGGGGTATTATTCACCACCATCAAAGTGCCAAAGAAACTCCACCTGGGTCCTTATGTCAATTCCAGTTGCTTTCTGTTTACACCGCAATCTGTCCCATCCCTGCCCCACCCCTACTTTGCAGTTCCATACACAAAGTCCAAGGTATACTAAAAAGAACCAATTTAATAACAAAGCAATGCTTCAGCTGTAAATTTACAGATAAAAGGAAAATCTGGATTTAATCCCCTTTGCAGAAGAATGGAATGGGAAGGGGCATCAAGGGGGGGCGGGGCCTCATATCACCTCCAGGCTACCTCCACTTCTTAGGACAAAACAAAAAAACAAGTCTCTAGATGTTTGTCCTGCCTTAGCCTTAGGATTGGTTCTCTGATTTAAAAGCTTCTTTTCCTGGAGGGATGGGTATTTGATCATTGTATAATTGAAACCCAAGCACAAAAATTTGTAAGTCTACAACTGTACCTCATGGTGTGTTTCATTAATAAAAATTAAATAAAAAAATTATTGTAAGTGGAGGACCATTTAAAAAAGAAAGCTTTTCCTAGAGATATCCCTAAATTTACCTAATCTGCAGGTTTTTTTTTTTTGAGTGTGTGTGGTGGTGGGGAAGAGGGGGACGGGGTGTCTTGGATTGTGCCCAGGTCTAAAGTATGCAAGGTAGACGCTTTACCACTGACCCACTCACATTCTTTTTTTTCCCCCTTTTTGCTCTGTTCTTTTTATTTATTTATTTTTAAAATTTTTATTAGTGAAACACCATGAGGTACAGTTGCAGACTTACACATTTTTGTGCTTGGGTTTCAATTATACAATGATCAAATACCCATCCCTCCACCTGTGCCCATTTTCCACCACCACGGATCCCAGTATCCCTCCCACCGCCCATCCCTCCCATCCCACCCTTCCTATGTGGGAGGGCATTCCCTTTTGTTCTCCCTCTCTCCTTTTGGGTGTTGACCCAGTCACATTCTTGACCTCTAATATACACTCTTTTTTAAAGTTTTTAAATTTATTTTTGCAGTGCCAGAAATCAAACCCAGGGCCTCACACTTGTATTCTAATGCTGAGCTATCATGCAGCCTAGCCAATCTGCATGGGGCTTTTTTTTTTTTTTGCGATACCCTGAGATGCTCAGGGGTTACCCTTAGCTCTGCAGTCAGGAATGAGTCCTGGTGGCACTAGTGGACCATATGAGCCAGGGATCGAACCTGGGACGGATGTGTGCAAGGGAACTGTCCAACCTGCCATACTTCCCCTCACTCGGCACCACCTCCATCTGCCTTTTTAAAGTCAAGGTAAAGTTTTATCCCAAGACACAGTCCCACTAAAGATCTTTCTTCCACATATCAAGAGTTCATGGATTGGAGTCAGCCTACTCTAGTCATTTTGAAAAAAGCCGGTGGGGATATTTTAGAGAAGACAGATTTTACCAATTCTCTGTCTGGACTTAAATCGCCAAGATTTTATTTGCTTTCCTAACAATTTTATAATGTTACATTAAAGATCATTCTCCATTTCCAATTAGTGTCTATAGAAGGTGTGAGGTTTAGGTTAACTTTTTTTAAAATGATTTTTGACAATGGCTGTCCAATTGTTTCCCATTAATTGAATAGACTAGTCATCCTGCTCGGAATCGCTTTTGGGCATCTGTGAACAGCCAGTTGAACATATTTGTATGGATCAGTTCCCGGTACTCTTACTGTTCTGTACTATTGAAGGATGTCTATCCCGCCACTAATAAGGCAGTGCCTCCCCCCATGCTAGTCTCGGTTGGGACAAGAGCTATTTCCTTGTTTCTAAGCTGCTTCAAAGATCCCAGATGTGCAAGTCCCTGATTTAATACGGCATGGTGTTTGCATATAAATTACACATCTTCCCATAAACATTTAATCACCTCTAGATTACATATAACATCTAGCCCGAAGAAAGTGTGATGTGATGGTGATTATACTGTTTTCTTTAGGGAGCCGTGACAAGAAAAAAATTGTCCTAATTCTCTGACACAAATGTCACTGTTCCCATGTATTTATTGAGCGGTCTTTCAATCACAGGGTTGTCAAACCCATGCGCGGGGAACCTGGACTGTTTCATATGTCTCCCTTAGGTGGAACACGGTTCTCCAACCGCGGGGAGGAGGACAGGGATGGTCGGGGGAGCTCAGGCCGACCCTCGCCTATGCTGGACAGCACCTCCCTGCCCCAAGCTTCTTACTCTCAGGCTTGTCGCGGCTTTGCTCCAGCCGGGCACCGCCAGGCTTTGCGGGTCTGGTGTGGTCTGGGGGCGCTACCCACGCCCCATGTCTGGCTCCCGGTGCAATGCTGCCCGGGTTCCCGCTAGGGGGGAGTGAACTGGGGTCCTGCTTTGGAGAGCCGTCAAAAAAGTTGTGTTTTTCCTGCAGCCAGGCGGAGTGCGTGCTGCGAGTCTGGAATTTGAAAGCCAGCCTGGGCTGAAACCTGTAGGGTTGGGGAGGTGTGTGGGTGAAACCGGAACTGCTCCCTGGACCTCCCGGGGACACGGGGGTGGGGGGATCAGGGGGTCTCTCTGCGGGATTAGATTTGTGTGACCGTCGTCAGCCGCAGTGCTGGCTGCTCGCTGTCCAGCTGTCCACTAGACTCTGACCATTTCTAATACGGAAAGAGAGTGAGCGACTAAGGGCTTATTTTAGGACCGAAAGGTTTAGTAACATAGTGTGTGTGTGTGTGTGTGTGTGTGTGTGTGTGTACACGCGCACACCTGTGTGTGTGTTTTGCAGCACAGTTGAACCCAAGTCCGCATACATGTGAGACACGCACTCTCCCACTGAGCCGTGCCAGAAGTGTGTGTGTGTGTGCGCGCGCTTGCCTGTGGATCCACACGCGCCCGCGCGCGTGTATATGTGTGTGTGTGTGGGGGGGGGGTGGGTTGGCAGACTGCATACCTCCAGCTTTTGATTCGGTGGCTTTAGCGACCCTCTGTGCTAAGATGACCCTCTGCCCGAACTTGGACCACCAGGACCGACCCCTGTGTACCCCCGCTCAACAGCAGGCGCTCCTTGCCAAAGCTGCATCTCTGAGCCCCCAAACTCCCGTGGCTGCGCTTGCAGACCGCTGGGGCCGCTTGCTCTCCTCTCTCTCTCTCTCTCTCTCTCTGTCTCTCTCTCATGCACACTCTCTCTCTCTTTCTGCCGCAGCCCCATCAGCGCGCACTGACCCACTCCACCCCGCCCGTGTCTGTCTCCCGCCTCCCCCCCACCCTCGCCACCCACACCCGTCCCCCCCCGCCTGTCCCCCTCCCAACTGTGCCCCGGAGCGGTTCTTTGCATGTTCGTCATCATTTGCGTCGCAGGGCGGACCCCTGGCCCCCGGAGTGGGTGCTCAAATAGAGGCCGGCTGGCGGGGTCCGGCTCAGAGCGCCCTCCTCTCGCAGCGAGGCTCGCTCTCCCTCTCCAGGAGAACTTCGGCCGCCGTTCGCCCGAGCCGCTCCGCCGCCCGCCACCATGGGCAACTGCTTCTTCGGCATCAAGGACCACCGCCCGCTGCCCGTCCTGCTGGTCCTGCGCGTCTTCCTGCCGGGCGCCCCCGGCAAAAGTTGCCGAGTGGCCGTGCTGGGCTCCGGCGGCTGCAGCCGCATGGCGCTGGTGAAGAAGTGGATCCGAGACAACTTCCACGGCTCCCGCCTGCCCAGCCTGGAGGCCATCTACCGCCTGGTGGACGCCTTCGCGCGCAACCCCGAGCGGGCCAGCGGCCAGGGCGGCATCCGCTGCTTCCTGGGCGGCCACCGATTCAGCTTCCCGCTGTCCCGGTCCCCGGTGATCATCCTGGTCTACGCGCCCAACAAGAAGCCCACCATGGAGGACATGAAGTCCATCTGCGACCTGATCCGAGAGATCCAGAGCCACAACCTGTGCCACCGCTACGCCGTGCTGCTGCTCCAGGGACCCGCCACCGCCACCGCCGCCACCGCCACCGCCACCGCCACCGCCGCTGCTGACCGCGAGGGAGCGCACGGACCCCGCGCCGCTGGAGAGGAGTCCGCTCGGGCCCGCGAGCGCCCCCAGAATCTGGGGCAGCGCCCCGGCGCCGAGGGCCGAGCTGCTGCTGAGTCACCCGAGAAAGCCCACTGCCCCCGCGACCCCAAGGGAGATGGCCACGACGACGGCAAGGCCGGTCCCCGGGGCCGCCCCGAGTGATGGGGCCTCCCCCGCAGCTGATGAGCGCAACGCGCGCCCCCCACTGATCACCCCCACCCCGCCCCTGTCACACTAGTGATGGACACGAGTGATGGTTTGGACTGTAGCCGTTAGATGGGCAGAAATGTCCCCCTCCCCAGTTAGCTAAGAACTTTGTCCCCTGGCGAGACGGGATCCATCAGATTCGAAATTGAGACTCAGAGAGGCGGGGGGGAAACGGAGCGGGATGCGTTTCAAGAAAGTGGCTCGAATGGACTCTTAGAGAAGGTGCCAGAAAGAACTGACAAATGGCATTTTCCCTTCTTGTGACTTGCTGTGTTCAAATGTTCGGGAAATCACCTGTATGCTAAGAAATGTGTCTTTGTAACCAAAGCGCTGACCAATGATTGTCAGGGGGGGAAAAAATCTTGTACGGAGTACTGGAGATGGGACGGGAAAGTGTGAAAAGTGAAAATCACTGTGTTCATTACAAAAAAATAATGTGACGCTCCTAAAATTTAATAAAGCTTTTCCTGCATGCAATCAGTTGTAATAATTTTTCTCGTCAGCCCCAGAAAAAATTAAAAAAATATTACTCATTAGAATATAATGTCAACCACATCTGGTGAAAGGTTCTAAGAAGAATTTCACACGTGAATAGCCCTGACCTCTGGAAATTAGGCAATGGTGGGGGGTGAGGGAGGAGTTAGGGGGTCCTTATAACACAAATTCATAAGTGGGGAGGAAAAGGGGTCCTTTCAATACACACCCACCAGGGTGGGGCGGGAGGGGTAGGGTCTTCGCAATATAGAATTATAATGGGGGAGGATAAAGGGGTCCTTGTGGCACATAAGGGTGGGAGGGGGGATAAAACAGATCCTTAAGCGAGGAGGACAAAAGGTTCCTGCGACACAGATGGATAAGTGGGGGGAGGAGGGGGGGGATAATGGGGTCCTTGCAATACACACACAGAAGAGTGGGACCCAAGGAGAAAGGGGTCCTCACAGGACATAAAGGTGGGAGGGGGGAATAAAGGTGGGAGGGGGGAATACAGATTTGTAAAGGGGGGAGGTAAAGGGGTCCCTGCTGTACTCCCTCATCAGGGTCGGACAGGAGGGGAAAGGAGACAGATTGACATGGGGGGTGGAGGGGAAGGAAAAAGGGATCCTGGCAATATATAAAGGTGGGATGGGAGGATAAAGTAAAGGGGTCCCTGCTATGAGATCCATAATGGGGGGGTGAGAAGGGGCCTTAATGTACAGATCTTCTTGGGGGGGGCGTGGAGAAAGGGGGCCTTGCAATAATGATCTGTAAGGGGAGGGGTTGCAAAGAAAAGGGTCCGTGCAATACAGATCTGTAATGGGGACATGGAGGAAGGGGTTCGTACAGATCTGTGGTGAGGGGGCCTGGAGAAAGGGGTCCTCACAATACAGATCTGTGGGGGGGCGTGGAGAAAGGGGTCTTGCAATACAGATCTGTGAGGGGGGTGTGGAGAAAGGGGTCTTGCAATACAGCTCTGTGGGGGGGCATGGAGAAAGGGGTCTTGCAATGCAGATCTGTGAGGGGGGTGTGGAGAAAGGGGTCTTTCAATACAAATCTGTGAGGGGGGCGTGGAGAAAGGGGTCTTGCAATACAGATCTGTAGGGGAGTGTGGAGAAAGGGGGTCTTGCAATACAGATCTGTGAGGGGGTGTGGAGAAAGGGGTCTTGCAATACAGATCTGTGAGGGGGGTGTGGAGAAAGGGGTCTTGCAATACAGATCTGTGAGGGGGTGTGGAGAAAGGGGTCTTGCAATACAGATCTGTGAGGGGTGTGTGGAGAAAGGGGGTCTTGCAATACAGATCTGTGTGGGGGGTGTGGAGAAAGGGGGTCTTGCAATACAGATCTGTGAGGGGGGTGTGGAGAAAGGGGGTCTTGCAATACAGATCTGTGAGGGGGGTGTGGAGAAAGGGGGTCTTGCAATACAGATCTGTGAGGGGGGTGTGGAGAAAGGGGTCCTTACAATACAGATCTGTGAGGGGGGTGTGGAGAAAGGGGTCCTTACAATACAGATCTGTGGGGGGACATGGAGAAAGGGGTCTTTACAGATCTGGGAGGGGGATGTGGAAAAAGGGGTCCTTATAGTACAAATCTATGCGGGGAGCATGGAGAAAGGGGGTTTTGCAATACAGATCTGTGAGGGGGTATGCAGAAAGTGGTCCTTACAGATCTGCGGGGGGGGGGGGGGGCATGGAGAAAGGGGTCCTTGCAATACAGATTTGCAAAGAGAGCCATGGAGAAAGGGGTCCTTGCTATACCCATCCATCTGCTTTGCTGAGCTGACACGGAGAAGAAATCCTGACATTTGTGAAGCTGACACTCCCTCAGCTGCTGTTTTGGAGGGGACAGGAAGATCTCCTCCTCAAAAGTCTTCCTCAAAGAAATACTGACCATAGGGAATGGGGGACAGGGTGGAAGGTAAGGGAGGAAAAGAAAATTTGAAACATGAGAAACTAAAACATGAATTTTTAAAAATTTATATTTGAATATAAAATACTTTGGATACAGAGATTATATATTTGAGCACATTTGAAACATGAACAAAAATGCACATGTCCTGGCTTTGAAGTATTTGCTTATTTTTTTTTCTTTTCCAGTTTGAGGGCAGTGAGGAGACCTTTAAGTTGATGGTCTTGCCCCCATAAAATAGTCATTGAGACATTTCTTGTTGGTTTTTTTCTGTTTCTGTTTTTCTTTTTCCTTTTTCATTTTGAGGGGAGTGAGGAGGCTTTTCAGCTGGTGGTCTTGGTCCTATAAAAATTCTTATTGAAAAATAATTCTTAATAAAAATATATATGTATTTTCTACTTTTGTAGCTTAATTTTGGGGGAAGAGGTGCACTGTGGAGAAGGAATTGAATCTTTATTTCACTGGTACACAGTTTTGAGTTTAGAAAATCTATTCAGTGGCTCCTTTTAAATGTTTTTGTTTTATAAAAATTTCACTCTTCCCTTTTAAACAATTACTCTTAATCATTTTTTTAAATACTTAAGTGATTCTACCATATTGCCGTTTGTGCATTCTGTTCTTTTTTTAAGTAGTTCTTATGTAAAATGGAGTAACTATTTCTAAAAGAAAATATTCTGTCATGTATGTTTTCTAGGGAATTCTCCTTGAAAATGTATTTATTCACTGTGGTTTCTTGAAGCTGAGCAAAGGGATTACTAGGTGACCAATACTATCTCTTTGAAAAGGAAAGGACATGTTCTCAGCGTTTCAAGTAAAGCTTAGAAAAGAACACGAATCATTTGAAATGATAGCAAATACGCCTTGAACTACAGCTAATATTTCTGCGTCATGTTAGAACACACATTTATTGAGAATCTTTTTTACATGTCATTGCTCTATGCCATTTCATTTCATCTTCACTCAGCTATGGAGTGAAATGAATACTGCTGTACATTATGCAGATGGCAATGCTGATTAAATACTAACTTTGCCACTCATAAAGGCAGTGAGTGGCAAGGCCAGTATTTGAATCCAGTTGTCCTGTTAAGAAGTTCTTAACCATTACAATGTGCTGACTCTTCTTCCTCTCCTAGTCAAAGCATAAAGTTACTAGCAAACCACCAAAATGTATGACGCTGTCTACACATGCACCTATATGTCTACTGGTACAAAAATATATCAATCTCTCTATGTATCCATCCTCCAATTAGCCACCTGTCCATTTACTAACATCGATTTGCTCGAGCAGGCCCAGTAACGTCTCCATTATGAGACTTCTTGTTACTGTGTTTGGCATATTGAATACTCTCGATAGCTTGCCAGGCTGTCCGAGAGGGGCAGAGGAATCGAACCTGGCTCGGCCAGGCTGGCTGCACGCAAGGCAAAAGCCCTACTGCTGTGCTATCACTCCAGCCCCCCAGAGTATTCAATATGCCAAACACAGTAACAAGAAGTCTCACAATGGAGACATTACGGGACCCGCTCGAGCAAATTTACCAACATGAATCAACATAATGCTTCACTCTTCAGGAGAGCTGGTGGGTCGCGGGGACTATTTTAGATGCTATGGGTAGATGAATGCCAGGGAGAGCCCTTGTCATCATAAACATACAGTCTAATATGTGCATGCTAGGGAGAGGAGACAATTCATGAACAAATACATAAATATTAGACAGTGGTGCATATTAGGAAGTAGAACAGCATAGAGCAAAAGGATGAAGAGGGCAGGGGTATTTTTTACATAACACGGCCAGAACGCTGACTGACATGGCACCCCGATGTGACTATTGGTGAGCCTCTCCACTGCAGCACGGACTAGCAGAGGGACCTCCAGAGGAGGTGAGTGGAAGGGAATAAATCAGCTTTGTCCACAGAGAGTGAGACACAGACTCCAGTCTCTCTGACAGCAAAGCCCTCGCTCCCAGCATTTCTCCTTCCTAAACCTGGAGTTGCGGCTGGTTCAAACGGAGCCTGAGCTTCTTGAGCTTTTGCCTCATCACAAACGTTCATGATGTGTGTCACGGGGGAAGGTGCTGCTGGAGGAAGCAGACTCTGCCATGCAGCAGAGTGGGCATTTGGGCAGGTTTTTTGAACACAGCCGGAGGAAGTCCCAGGTTTGCAGGAAGGGCGAGGGTAGGGCTGGTGGAAGGTGCACAGGCAAAGAGCAGGACCCTGGGACCTTAGCTACCAGCCCAGGCTCTCCCGACTCACTCCTGCCTCCCTTCTTCTCTCGGTGCTTCTCTTCACCTCTGTGAGTGCTCTTCTCTGGTCCCTCTGGCTCTCTGGAAGCTCACGTGGGTCCCATCCCCTCCACTTGAACGGCAGCCCCTGGAGAGTAGAAACTCTTCGGTTTGACTCAGTATTAATCTTCTTGTATGATAAGAGTTGACCAGACTCACTCCTTGAAGGAAAAATCAACAAGGGCCTCTGTGTGGGACGACGACAGCATCTGAGGAACTTGGTGAAAATACAGATTCCTCAGCCCCACCCTGCAGAGACAGCAAAGCAGGTTTGGGGAGAGCCCGGGTGTCTGGAAATGTTCAAATGTGGAGCCATTAATTTCTGAGGTAC